TAGCTATTTCTTGATTTGATGGATTGATTCATGATTCTTTTCTTCCAATCTCTATTGCATGAAATTTCTTAATGCTTTGTGTTGACTGGCCACCAATACAATGAATCGTAGTTAATTAGGTTATTAGCGACAGTGAAACCCTAATAACTGAACCTATTTCATGTGACATAGTAACTTATCGAAGCGACAGTGGATTAAATAAGGTGCTATGCGGTCTTAAATAGGATATCGATCTTCAGACTATATAGTTAATTCATTGAGCTACGACAGTAGGATTTGAATTGATTATTTAGTACGTAGTAATTCCCGACAGGGATAGCTAGCACAGTAGTCATATCCTGGCTGTAGAGATATGGATTAAATTGATTGGAATATGTGAATTAATTTGGATATGATAGGTAGCGAGTCCGGTGTTTCTCCCCGAGCTTTCTCCCATTGATTTTCTCCCGACCAATTTACTTTGCTTAATTAGTTTAATTATTTTGCTTTTAGATAATTAGATTAAACCATTTTCACCTATAGTTTGCTCAATAAAATTGATAGAACTTAAGGTTGTACCAGTCCCTGAGAGACGATACCCGGACTTTCCGGTTTACTACAAGATAGGAATTGGCATTACGCTTTTGCCCTATCAAGTTTTTGGCGCCGTTGCCGGGGACTGCCATACCTTGTTTTTTATTGATTTTTGTGAGTGAACTTTTTTGATCTGGGTGTTAGTGTGCAGGTGAATTTTTCAGGTTTATCCTCCTTGTGCATGCCAAGGAGGACGACTGACAATTTACTGCCACTTGATCCAGAGATAGAGAGGACCTGCCGACAGAACAGGAAGAAGGTCAAGTTAGGGAAGCAGCCTACCACATCCACAACTTCTAGGCCTTCCCTAACTCAGAATCGTCAGCCGAGAAGGCAGGTTTCACCACCTGTCATCCCGACACCACCGACACCACCACCTCGCATTATCGAGCCTGTCATCATGGCAGAGCAGGATCGTTCGATCAGGGCTCGTCTGAATCGGAGGACTGGAGCCCGAGCTTCATGTGTGGTCATTCCAGCTGGGGATGCAAACATGGAGATTACCCCAGCCTTCATCAATATGATCACTAATGGGTACACCTTCTCCGGGGCCAGCACTGAGGATCCTCATGAACATCTCCGCCGGTTTGCAAGCATTTGTGACACAATGAAGAGCCTGGCTGTGTCTGATGATGCCATCCGTCTTCGGATGTTCTCCTTTTCTCTGCTAGGGAATGCATCACACTGGTTCCAGAACTTGACACCCCGTTCCATCACAACATGGGGTCAGCTTGAGAAGACCTTTTTGGATAAGTACTTTCCTCCTGCCAAGGCAATGAAGAGGCAAGAGGAAATTGTCACTTTTAAACAAGCTGAGGATGAAAGTTTGACCGAGGCATGGGAGCGCTATAAGGAGCTTCTAATGAGATGCCCGAGCCACGGTCTTGAAGATTGGAACGTGATCTCCATTTTCTTCAACGGAATCAGAAGACAATACCGAGATGCTCTGAATAATGCTTCCCGGAATGGTTTCACAAGAATGGAAGCACCGGAAGCATATGAACTGGTGGAGAAGATATGCTATGAAGATACTGAATGGGGAAGTGAGACCGGCACTCGGAGGAGAGGAGGCTTGCATGAGATAGACAGAGTTGCAAGTCTAGAAGCAAAGATTGATGCTAAGCTGGACTCCAAGTTTGATGCACTCGAACGAAGGCTGTCTAAGTTGGCTATTGGTAGACAGGAGGAGGTTGCTTATTGCGAATTATGTGAAGGTGCTCATCATAGGGATCTATGTCCACTGGTGGCTGATCAGATGGAAGATGTGCACTATATCAACAATCAGAGAAATCAAAGCCAGGGAGGTATGTACTCAAATACCTACAACCCACAATGGAGGAAGCATCCTAACTTTTCCTGGGCAAGCAACAACCCAACTGGTGCTCGCAACATTCCACCTCCAGGCCTGCAGAAACTACAACCTCCACCTCAACCAGATAAGAAACCACAACTTGAAGAATTGCTTCTGGCTCACATGCAGAAAACCGACAATAATCTGAAGGGCCTGGATCAATTTGTCACTCAACAGTTAGCCATCAACAATAATTTACAATCGTCTATGCTAGCTATGGAGAGGCAGATGGGACAGATGGCTCAAACTCTGGCGGATATGCAAGGCAGGATTCCTGGGACATTACCGGCTAATACCGAGAGGAATCCAAAGGATGCCATGGTTGTAGCAGTCACATTGAGGAGTGGGAAGGAGTTGGAGGATCCAAAAAGCAAGAAAAATCCAGTAGAAAAGGCGGGCAAAGGAGCTGCAGAGATGGAGGATGAAGAAAGTGCAAAAGCTGAAAAATCTGACTTGCACAGGCAAACTGCATGCAATCTGCCTGTGCAAAAGCAATATGCCTAGTGCCATGAGTTTGATGTATTACAGGCGAAGAAAACACGAAAAAGAAGTTGCACAGTCAAGCAATTCTCTAATCACTGGCTAAATAACACGTGGGCCTGGAAGGAGGAGCTGGGCGGACTTATTTCTTTGGGTAAACTCTGTTGTGGGACAAAACGAAAAGGAAATGGGCTTGGAAAGTTTGGCCCGGAGTCAATTACCAGGGAGGATTTTTGGGCCAAGGGTTTTGTCATATTTGGTGGGTGGCTAATTTTGGACGGAAGGCTTTGGGGAGAAGAATTGGAATTTCTCTGGGGCAAGGAACTGAAGGGGGGAATAACAGCGGAGCGGAACAGAGAATTGGAGGGGGGGGGCTGGCTCTTAATTTGGGACGGAACGAAATAAACGAAAAAAGAAAGGAGAGGAGGCAGCTCGCGGGGGAGAAGAAGCGGAACAGCTGCAGCGAGTTCGGAGCGCAGCGCCCGGGCGATTCGTGAGCAGCAATAGGCGATTGAAGCGAGAAGGAATTGGTATCGAGATTACGTTCGAGAATCTCAGTATTTTTCCTTTAACTTTAATTAATACGATGATGATTATAAACATGATTGTGTGTTTTATTTTCGTCATGAACTAAACCCCAATTTCTGGGGGAAACACCATAGGATGTAGCTATTTCTTGATTTGATGGATTGATTCATGATTCTTTTCTTCCAATCTCTATTGCATGAAATTTCTTAATGCTTTGTGTTGACTGGCCACCAATACAATGAATCGTAGTTAATTAGGTTATTAGCGACAGTGAAACCCTAATAACTGAACCTATTTCATGTGACATAGTAACTTATCGAAGCGACAGTGGATTAAATAAGGTGCTATGCGGTCTTAAATAGGATATCGATCTTCAGACTATATAGTTAATTCATTGAGCTACGACAGTAGGATTTGAATTGATTATTTAGTACGTAGTAATTCCCGACAGGGATAGCTAGCACAGTAGTCATATCCTGGCTGTAGAGATATGGATTAAATTGATTGGAATATGTGAATTAATTTGGATATGATAGGTAGCGAGTCCCGGTGTTTCTCCCAGAGCTTTCTCCCATTGATTTTCTCCCGACCAATTTACTTTGCTTAATTAGTTTAATTATTTTGCTTTTAGATAATTAGATTAAACCATTTTCACCTATAGTTTGCTCAATAAAATTGATAGAACTTAAGGTTGTACCAGTCCCTGAGAGACGATACCCGGACTTTCCGGTTTACTACAAGATAGGAATTGACATTACGCTTTTGCCCTACCATTAAACCAGCATAATGGTATAAATCGGGGTTATATGTATAATATGCCCCTCTACTATGTCGTTTTATCAAACATGCACCTCTACTATATTTTACATCAAACATGCCTCTGTACTTTAGAAAAATGATCAAACATGTCATTCTGTTAATATTTTCACCAAAAAACGGTCAACCACGGTCGTACCTTGGTTTGGACGACACAAATGTCTAAAATATCCCTGGTAATTTCACTTTAGAATTTTTTAGGTTTTTTTGTAGAGCCAATTACCTCTAATAATTTCACTTTAACGAGACCTAGAATAATAAAATGGGGGACAAAACTGACATTTTTCCTCATTTGCCGATATCGGGTCGTCTACATCTCGGTTCAACCATGGTTGATGATTTTTTTAATGAAAATTTTAACAGAAGGACATGTTTGATAATGTTTCCAAAGTACAAGAATATATTTAGTATAAAAAATAGTAAATGGACATGTTTAATAAAACTATGTGGATAGGGAATTGATAAAGGTCGTCCTTAAAATTACTATTGATCGTCCTAAAAAATAACAAAGTTACACTTTTAACCTTTTGGCATTTTTAGCAAACAAACATCACTTTAACTAAAAAAATGAAAAACATTCAATTTCCCACACTCTCGAATTCATCGTTGACATTCTCGAGTCGTAATCGTTGAGAATACGTCTGAATCATGAGTAGCGACTCCGACGAGGTAAAAATCTGATTTTTTTTTCAAAAAAAATTCCAAAACCCCTCAACCGAAGCCAATTTTCGGTTGTACCATGGCTCAACCTAAGGCAATTTTTGGTTGTACCATGGACCAACCGAAAATTGGCTTCGTTTGAGCCATGGTGCAACCGAAGGTGATTTTCGTTTGAGCCATGGTGCAACCGAAGGTGATTTTCGGTTGGTCCATGGTACAACCGAAATGGCTTAGGTTGAGCCATGGTACAACCGAAAATTGGCTTCGGTTGAGGGGTTTTATGTTTTTTTGGATTTGTTTGGTTTATATCAATAATTTTCTATTCTTTTACTACGATTTATGATTCGGTCCATAAGATAATTTGTTGAATTTTGTTTTATATATTTTTTTTAGATTTATGGAAGGGGGAGGAGTTATTTGTTTTGTGTTTGATTTTGAAATTCAAAATGGACAATTTGGTAAATTACATATTAAGTTAGGACGATGGTTAGTAATTTTTAGGACGACCTTTAATCATTTAGTATTATACCTATAACTCTATAAAACAACTTGCTCTAAACGTCCGACGTCTTACCCAAACGACTACCCTGCAAAAATATTGAAGTCCTAGCTAATGCCAACCGTCGGATCACTGATGTTAATGTCCACAATTGGAAGTGTAGGCCGCTTGACCAGATCAAGCACGTGATCGTCGAACCTGGCTAGAGATCATCCTGATTCTACTCTCACCAGTTTCTCCTCTAGCACACTCTTCCTACCCTCTCGAACCCTAATTCCGGAAATCACTTGTGAGCTCCTCATTCTTCCGTTCTGCGTCGAATCTCAGGAAGGTAAGCTAATTTGATAGCTGCTGATCTCCCCTCCAGCAATTCTCAAGTTCCTATTTCGTCAGATTGTTTCTTTCCCCGGTAATTTACTGCTCCTCACATAGCTCGGCGGCTTGTTTAGTAGGTTATAAATTGGTTTTGAAGTAGGAATTTATGTTACGGTTAGTAGATTGACTTCAAAGTATGAGGTGATTAGAGTCGGACAAATTTGGCAAGTCGGTTTGGCGCAACTAAAAGGTTATACGGCGCTAGTTGTTTTAGGTAATCCTACCAAAGGAGGTTTTATCTGGACTGGTTGGCTGCGATGGTATAATCTGGGACTTAGATGGCCAATCACTGCCAGTGTTTGATCCAAATGGTTTGGTGTAGGCTAGTGAGTAAATCAACTAGGATATGGATTTGGGGTTTTGAGGACTTCGTGTATTTGATTAGTAATACACAATGAGCTCAAGTTCTGTGTCAAATTGTTTACATTGGCAAGTATTTAAGGTTTCATTGGGAGTTAGAATTAGAGGAAGCAGGGAGTGAGAGGCTCTTTGAGAAGCTTTATCTCGTTTCGATGGGCCACCTCAAACTTTCATTTCGACTGTTGCAACACGATTGAACTTGGCCACCTCCCCTAGTGTCAGTTCTGCTCATTAGAGTAGTCTTATCCTGACAGCGTGGGTGTATCCAGTTGCTATTGTCTTCGTCGTCACAGATTGTTACTTTAGTGGAGCTGTATGAACTTCACCTGAAATCTGTGTGATTCCATCTACTTCTTATTTTACGATGTTGGGAAAGTATAGTCTTGTCCTTGCATGAGAGGGTCGTCGATTGTACAAGATTCTTTCTCATGTGTGCACTGTACAACATATGAATTTCTCAGATATTTAACTTCTTGGAAGTGAAACAATGGTACTCATGACAAATTCTATTGCATCTTTGTGGTCTTGTTCTTCTGATAACTATCTTCTTTTGTCACTGTTGGAGTTTGTCATATTTGATTATACCATGTCTGCATAGTCACATGCATAATTATGTATAGTTACTATTCACGTTAGCAACCTAATGAATGGTTTATCTTAACTTAATGTGTGATGCAGTTGGTCCTTTCAAGAGTGCTCATGCAAGTCTTTGAATTGGTCATTTGAACAATCTTGAAGAAAGTGGGATCAGAATAAATGGATTCAGTACCTGCTGATCCATCAGCAAAGTCTCCTGAGAGACAACCCACTGCTCCAGTAGATTCCGGATCAGATACTTCTGTGCGTGATGTTCCATCTAAGCTGTCTTCTTGGGCTAGAAGTTTCAAAATCCCTCAGCAGTTGACTACCACAGTCGACGATTCCCCTACTGGAGGTGCTGGAAAATCAACTTTTTCACGCTTCACAAGTGGTTTCGGGTTGCGGTCATCTCCAAAATCACCTCCGGCAGATGAGGGTCATGGACCTGAAGCGGCTTCTGGCTTCATTGGAACAATTACCAAAGGTTTAGTTGATACATCTAAGAATGCAGTGAAAGTGGTACAAGTCAAGGCTCGGCATGCTGTTTCTCAAAATAAGAGGAGATACCAGGTATGGAAGAGATGCCAAGACTTCTTTCCTTATATTTAATACTCTACTCCATGATGTGGTAGTCATCATACTTCACCTGTTAAATTCAGTATGTCCATCCATATATTGCAAAGAAAACATATGGTATGCTTAAGTTTGTTCATTTTTTAATATAGTGTCAAGGGGGCATTGATTTTTTGTGTCACGAATCATCAGCATCTAAAGCCGTTGCACTAACTCTGGCTTTCCAGAGATCGGACCTACTTTCTTACTTGATGTTGACGAAAATAATTCATAATCTGCTTTATCCCTTAATATTCTATTGTTATTTCTTCCTTTCAGGACGGGGGATTTGATCTCGACATGACCTATATCACTGAAAATATAATTGCTATGGGATTTCCTGCTGGTGATATGAGTTCTGGTTTTTTTGGCTTTGTTGAGGTAAGGAATCTTATCTACCCTCTTTCAGTCTTGAGCTGTTTTTCAACCAGTACGCATGGATGAGCTGTTCAACTGAATGCTGCAGGGGTTCTACCGTAACCACATGGAAGAAGTGATAAAGTTTTTCGAAATGCATCACAAGGTAATCATATGTTCAATACTTTTGGAATTGAATCCTGTCTAATGATTGTGCCAGCAGTTGGTTATTCTGTGGGATTACATATTCAATTGTTTTCCAATATGACAATCCAGCTAGCCCTTATGTTTTTAGTAGCGGTGAAGTATTTATACTGTTTCTGGACTCTCTTTCACATTCAATATGTATCACTTGACCGGGGTGCTCTGATTCTAATTCTCTTTGTGCTCTGATTCTATGTACCTCATGCTGCAGGCAATATATAGAATATATATCTGCCTCTCCTTATAAGCTTATTCGTTTACTTGCAATTTATTGAAGTCTGTGCTAATCTAACATTATAATCTTCACTCAGTATCCACTGCATCACTGGTTGTAATTGAATACGCTAGGGATAGCAGTGGAACTTGAAGTGTGACCTGTATCTGTTTAATCTGTGTTCTTTATGTTTGGTGTCTGAGGGTGAGCTGGTTTACTCTTCATACAGGATAAGTACAAAGTATACAACCTTTGTTCTGAGAGGCTTTATGACGCATCATTATTTGAAGGAAAGGTGAGTGTTCTTGATTCTTCCTTTGCTGTCTTCGTGTTGGAAAAAAATCGTTTCTTCTCTTATGGGTGTTGTGTTGTCCTCTATGATCAGGTGGCTAGTTTTCCGTTTGATGACCACAACTGCCCCCCAATTCAACTGATAATATCATTTTGTCATAGTGCTTACTCATGGTTGAAGGAAGATATTGAGAATGTTGTGGTTGTCCATTGCAAGGCTGGAATGGCAAGGACAGGGCTCATGATTTCTAGCCTTCTTCTGTACTTAAAAGTAAGAATCTGCACATTTCTGAAATAGCTGGATGAGGTATTCAATGAAAAAGTTTCATTTTCCCTAAGAGAAACCAGTTCTTACAAACTACGAGCTTCTCTCTGCAGTTCTTTCCTACAGCAGAAGAGTCCATTGATTACTACAATCAAAAGAGATGTTTTGATGGAAAAGGACTTGTTCTACCCAGTCAAATTGTAAGTGGTTATTGGTATGCTATTAAAGAATGCAGTCTGCACGGTTATATCTTCAGATTCCATGTTATTTGACACGAAACTTTATGCTCTCTTGCAGAGATATGTGAAGTATTTTGAGCGTACCTTGACATACTTCAATGGTGAAAACCAGCCTGGCCGAAGGTATAATAGTGGATTTGGTCTGGACTCTCACTATTATCATTGTTGTTTTTTCCCCTTTCTAGATTTGCTGAGTTTTTTAATATCATACAGGTGCATGCTGAGGGGATTTCGGCTTCATCGGTGCCCTTACTGGATCAGGCCTGCTATAACTGTTTCTGATCATAATGGTCTGTAATTTTTGTTATGGTTTTCATGTGTTCCTTGTGGAGTCATCGATTAGTATCAACCCTACCTAATCATGCAGCCCAATTTACTGAAATTATTCTTTTTGTATTGGGGTATAAGCTTGTGTGTTACCATCATCTACTTGTATGGTTCTCACCTTGGGCATAGTTGCTAATGATCCTCGCGAGCTAGCGAAGTCTATAAAAGGTCGATTTTTTTAGGGCATGTGCTCATCTATAGTAGTCAACGCCTACTACGAAAATTCCTACGGGATGGAAATGTACATGTTTGATATAGATAGCTATCCAAGAATGAGCAGATTGCATGAATCCAAGGTCAAGAAAACAGAATTTTTATATGATACCTATGTCGATTGATGACTGCTGCTGCTGTTTTGTCCTACTGCAGGTGTTCTCTTTTCTACGAAAAAGCATTCGAGGACCAAGGACTTGTCGGTAGGCCTTATTAGTACTTGGAACTTGTTATGTATAGTCCATTTATAGCTCATCTATGCCTTTAGGTGAGCTTGTTATATGTTTTTTATACAACTTGCAGCCAGAAGACTATTGGTTCAGTGCGCCGAAGAAAGGAGTTATGGTATTTGCTCTCCCAGGGGAGCCCGGTCTGGCAGAGGTGGCTGGAGACTTCAAAGTCCAGTTTCATGACCGCCAGGGAGATTTTTACTTGTCTGTATACCTCACCCTGTAAACATATTCTAGATTTCATGTAAAAATATACACATGATTACTGACTTGTTTCATATTTGTTGTATCAGTTGGTTAAACACGACAATGATGGAAAACAGAAAAGTCCTAAACACGGGTGATATCGACGGTTTTGACAAGGTAGGAATTCTTATTCATTTTCCTCCTTAGATGATGATATCCCCTCTGCTTTTGATTCTCTTATAAATCCGCACCTTGATTTTTGGTTCTTCGCAGAGGAAACTTCCATCACCAGGGTTTCAAGTTGAGGTGGTTCTAGTTGATGCTAATAATACCACTGTTCTCCCAGTGCCCCTAAACACCCCCCAAGCAAAGTCCGACGGAGGAGGCTTGAGCACTGTTCCTACTACCTCACCCGAGACAGCTTCAGCACCAAGCACAACGGCCTCCTCGATGCAAAGCAAAGACTCTGCACCAAACCCCGATAAGGATGATGTCTTTTCAGACAGTGAAGCAGAGGAATCGGTGTCTTGGAAGAGAAAAGGAGATGAAGCGAGCGCAGCACCACAAGCTACTACTGCAGCCGATGTAGGATCTGTTGCCACGCCGGCTACTGCTAAATCGGATCAACAAGCTGCGAGTTTAACAAAAGCGACGGAACAGGTCTCTCTGGGGAATGCAGCATCCGAGAAACCGGTACACATTAGTAATCAGCCAAAGGGGGGAAATGACACGGAGAGCGAGTTCAAGGCAATGGCTGCTGATGCATCTGTGTTCACTTTTGGGGATGGCGAAGACTATGATAGTGAATGAAATAAATAAAAAAGGAGTATGATAATCTCCTCTTTTCTTTCTGCACGGTTCTGTACATAATGGTTTATGACAAGTTATAGTAACTTGGTTCGTTGATTCTGGATTTATTGGTCACCGTAAGCAAAATGCGGACTTAAGATGTAAGACTTCCCCTTTGCACCAGCTTGTGTGTATTTGTTTCATTGGATTTTGGAATATAATGTACATAGTTCTATTGATGTACACCGTCCGTCTTAATGAAATCTTAGAAGCTTTTCTCCTGTTTTGAAGAGAATGGAAGTCGTGGATTTGTCCTCACAAGCTCCCAACCTGCTGGTTGCCCACAAGCAAGATGCACTAGACTTGCGCAACCACCATGGTCACTTCCACTTACTTCCGCAAATCATGATATTAACCCAAGAATATACGAGATGAGTGACAACACGTTGATCGACAAGTGATACGAATCTTGAATATTTATACAAGAATTGTAAAACTGTATCGACAAGTGATACGAATCTTGAATATTTAATTTATACAAGGATTGTAAAACTGTATCGGAGGTTGTACCAAAAAAAGTCGATAATAGTATATTTTATGTTGAAATCTTGGTTCAACCTTTTCATACTACTAAAAACCGGATAGCGATTTAGAATCCCGGTACGAATTTACATGCTTGTATCACCTGGTCCGGTTGAAGGCCGAAACGGGGTTAACTTTAAAACCTCCCTCCGATGTCGGCCTAGTTTGGTCAACCGTCAATCACTAGCCCGATAGCTATTTGAGGTTTACCGTTAATGCGTATACTTAATAAAATTGCAAGAGAACCGCATAACTACGGAACCACCTGAAGAAGAAGGAACGGAAGAGTCAAAGTCGATTAATTATTATTTTGGAAGAAAACTTCCCAACGGGAAAGGGGAAGAAAGAGCGGTGAAACCACCGCGCTGGCGCTGGTGCTGGTGCTGGTGCGGCGACTAGAAGAGGCGCCGCGAAACGGAAGATTAGACGAAAACACGAGACAGCCCACTTGATAACCGCGTGACTGCAGCAATCAATTTTACGCGGCCGCGGATTTCCCCTTTCCTTTCCCCTCTGGAAGCAAAGCAACAAGATCTACCCCTCTTTCACTTTCTATTTAAACAAAGGCACGGCCTTGGAGCTCCAAAGTCAATTTTTCCAGAAAACAAATCTACCTTTTCATCGACCTGCGGTTCCTTCTCCAGAAAATACATCTTCCTTTCCATCGACCTGCAGTTCTTTCTCTTCGTCTTCTGAGCAATTCGATGTCGTTCGCTTCTGGGATTCATGGTCAGCTGCTTGAAGTCACTGGTGGGTTTCTTCTTCCCTTTGATTGCCTTTCTCTCTTCGGTTTCAGGGGGCACAAGATTGAACCTTTGACGAATGGGTTCTTGCCTTCTTGGGGTTGATTTTTCTGCGTTTGCCGCTTGCTTGCAGTTGTTGGGTGTACGAAACTGAAAGATACCGAATGGATTTCAAGGCAGGATCCTTACGTTTGTGTTGAGTATGGTAGCAACAAGTCCCGGACAAGAACTTGCACAGGTAAGAATAATGTGTTCTTGCTTGGATGCGACCTCTGGATGATGATGCAGAACTAAACAAGTTATGGTTGATCTGCTGTAGTGCTAAACTGTTGGGCCATATGTGTTGTGCTTAATAGATGGCGGCAAGAACCCCACGTTTCAAGAGAAGTTTGTGTACACGCTTATTGAGGGACTGAGGGAATTGAATGTCGTAGTTTGGAACAGCAATACATTGACGTTTGACGATTTCATCGGCAGTGGGAAGTGAGTTACTGTTAACTATTTTGGATGATCCTTTTTGAGCATTTTGCCAGTTATTCACATTGTTTTTGGTTTCTGACTGTTTCTCTCAGAATTCAATTGCATAAGGTTCTATCAGAGGGCTACGATGACACAACTTGGCCACTTCAAACGAAAACCGGCAGGTAAATGGCCTCTCTTTGCTACTACATTTTTTGGGTGGTTTACTTTGAGTTCATGTTCCTCTTTCATTGGTTAAAGTTCGTAGGCGAACTGAGTCGAAGTTTGCTCAGGTGTTTTATATGGTTTAGAGTTCAGTTTTCCGCTATAACAGATCCTCTTAGCGGTGTCATTGACGTTTGTTGGCATGCGGGCGTGCATAATTCTTGCATTCATTTAACTCGGAACACTATCAAGCTTTAATAATCCTTTATATTGCTACCTGTACCATGAAGATAGTTCCATGTTCGTTTTCTGCTGTAGACTGTAGTACCTTCTTTGCTTCTACTCGTAATTTTTGTTGAATGAAATCAATAGAGGGATGTCCATAGTTCCTGTTCTCCTCTTCTTCTCTGAGAGTGGTTTAATTCCAGTATTGCACCAAGGAATCAAAGACGAGACTGTATGCTATAATTCGTTTGTTCTAGAGCATAGGAGCACTTCGATTGAGTGTTCTCTTTATGGCCTTATTCTAGAGCATAGGAGCATTTCAATTGAGTGTTCTCTTTATGGCCTTATTCAAGACTATGGCACTTGAGCTGTTCGCGTGGTATATCGTCCTTCTTTCAGCTGCAATCTTCTTCTAAGCTCTCAATTTTCCTTTTTTTTTTTTTTTGCCAATCCAGGCATGCTGGGGAAGTCCGACTCATAATGCACTATGCCAATGCTAATGTAAGTCTTCTGGTTGTGCACCAAATATACTTAAATTATACCAAAGAACCCTGTTCTGCCAGCCCTCTATTGTGTAAGCTGTATTTATGCTTTGTTCGCTCATTTCGCAGAAACCAGCCACAAGTTACGCTCATTCGGCACCTTCATACGGAACACATGGTCCCCACATCTCAATGTACTCAGCACCACCACCATCAGCATATGCACCACCTCAAGCACCTGCTACCATGGCAGGTTATGGCCCTCCCGCAGCTGCTGCAGGTTATGGCCGACCTCAACCTGCAACCACGTTAGCATATGGAGCAATGAGTACAGCCTCTCCATATGCTAATGCTCCCCCAACAGCACCCTATCCATCACATCCTTACTCCTCGTATCATCAGCCTTCAGCGTATCCTCCATCTCCTTACCCTTCTATGCCAACTTCTTATCCTCCGCCATCTTCAGCTTATCCTCCTCCACCATCAGCCTATCCTCCACCTCCACAAGGCTCGCCTTATCCTCCAGGTAATATGACATGCTGCAGCATTGCTTACCTCCTTTTCTTCATGGTCATTGTTGAACTAATCTTCTGTTTGCTAACATTTGTTTCTTTTCTTCGTCATGTAGGCCCTCCTGGATATTATCCTCCTCCGCCATATTAGGGGTGAAGAAGTTGGGTCTGCCCGGCTGCCCAAAGCGAAATGTAAAATCGAACTTGAATCCTCAGTACATAGAACTAGGAGCTTTAGCTGTGAGGACTGTTGTCATGAATATTTGTTGGTTGTATTGTTTTGGTAAAACAATTGACATCAAATTCTGGAGAAGGGCTTTGCAGATATTTTCACCCTCTTTTCTTCTCTGATATTCAATGTTGATGTCAATCAAATTCTTTGTTCTGTTGAGATTCATATATTTGTTTATGTTGTTTCATTGTGTGATTTTTCCCGAAGATCGCATTTTTAGGACAGAATGTATATTTGATGTGCGTCCTTTTCTTTTTAAAGCGTCCTTGAGAGATTAGAGAGAGAGAGAGCTGTTTTTGCTCAACACTTTTTGAATTATAAATGGGTAAATTGCAAAGTTGGTCACTAGAAGTGCTAAAAAATTCACGTTTGGTCACTAAAAGTATTTTATTTCGTTCATGGTCACTGGATGTGGTTAAACGTTTCACGTTTGGTCACTCTCCGTTAGTCTCCATTAACACCGTCAGTATTTTGCTGATGTGGCTAACAGGAACGCTGACTCGCCCAATTTTAACTCGCCATGTCATAAAACCAATGACTCAAACTTCCTAACCAAACCAATCAATTAAACCAGTTCAGTGTAACAATACCTAGTTACATATCCAACCTAACAAGGATTTTCGAGTTGAACCTCGCCGACAATTTCCTCACCGACCAAATCCCTAGTCTCTTCGAAAGCTTCCACTCGCTTCATACCATCAAACTTGCCTTGAACAGTCTCACCGGAGTGGTACCGAAATTGTTCAAGAATATCACGGAGATCTACAATTAGGATTTCTCCCAATTTGACAACATCCAAGCCCATAACCCATATTCTTCTTGTTATCCCTCGTTGCGTTCCCTGTGAGCTCCAAAACCTAGCCAATAAAAAATTCCAACCAACATCAAGAACAAATTCCTAATTGACCCAATGTGCTTACGGGAAGAGAGGGAAAAATTATTCAGTGGTAATGAACCTCAGGGGCGAGACACTCGAGGACGACAGAGAGGTAGATGGATGCTCCGCCGCCGATTTGCTCGACATACTTGCTGTGATTTTGATCTGGCAAGTCGAAGTCTGGGGCCCCTGCCCCCGTCACCATCAGCGACAACTATGTTGCCTCGAGCGCCGCCTTGCACACTTCCCAGCTGCGACATGGCCGTAGTATCTAGTTACCTATCCGCCTTCCTCGGGTGATTGATTAGAAAAGCAGAAGTCGTAGGTGGAGAGGGCCGCGTCAAGCTTTTGGGCTTCACCTATGGCGGTGGTCGGAGAAGTAGAAGTAAGGAGAGAGATGTTGATTGGGGAAACCAGTCGATTAGCGAAAGGAGGAGGATTGAAGGTTGGAGTTTTTGGGGGATTTGAGGATTGGGGGAGTTAAGGATTTGGTGGCGGAAGGAGGAGGATTGGAGGTTGGATTCTTTTTCGTTGGGTGGGTAAGTTGAGAGGGAAGGGCCAGATTATGGGTTGGATTAGGTTGTATGATGTGGCGGGTTTTGCTGATGTGGCGGTTGGATTTATGATGTGACGGGTTAAAAATGAGTGAATCAGCATTTCTGTTAGCCACGTCAGCTAAATATTGACGGTGCTAATGGAGACTAACGGAAAGTGACCAAACGTGAAACATTTAATCACTTTCAGTGACCATAAATGCAATAAAATACTTTTAGTGACCAAATATGAATTTTTTAGGACTTCTAGTGACCAACCATGCAATTTACCCAATTACAAATATTTAGCATTGTGATTTGTGTGCGTGATGAAATGGCTCGTAAGGTTAGCGAGACAGAGCAAGAAGCTGACTTTAGTTGTGTGATTGGGTGCTGTTTAACCCGCCATCAAAAGCAGGGTTACATCATCCCTCTTCTTCTGCACAATTGAGATGGACTGGTGCAAGTGTAATGTTTGTCATTGCCTTCCCCGCTTCTAATGATGGTTACTACTGAGTACTTTCTTCGTTCACCCGGTCACAGATGAGCTGTCTTTGTTCGAACCCGAATCTTGAAGAGTTTGGAGAGGGATGTCTCACTGAACACCAAACCCATTCTGGCACACACTAAAAGCTCGAGCAATCGATGCCTATAACCCATTAGGATTTCGAAGCTTTGAAGGCCAACTGTTTCGATGGCGAAATTCGCGTGTTCAATGTGCTCTGTTTTCAAGGAAACACAAAACACAAAGTCAACACAATCGTCAAATATCCACCGTCGAATTTCGGCGCCGTTGATTTGATCGATTAAATAGAAATCAAGACGACCGTCAAATATCCACCGCCGGCGTCGGCGATGTTGATTTGATCGATGCACCTTTGACTTCTAACCAAGAACAACCGTTACTCGGTTCAGCACCTCTCCGAACTAAGTTCGAACGAGGGTGTTCGACGAGAAACCAATCCAGGAGTGTTCTAAGTTACGTTACCTCTATTCCTATGGAGGTTCCTCTAGAGAGCTCCGCGACTACGGCTACGGTCTACGACTACTACGACTCTGCAAAGGAGGTCTTTGACAGAGAAGTTCTACGAAACTAGAGGAAAAAAGGGCAAGTCTGCGACGGTGTAGTTTGAGCTTTGAATTTGCCGTCTCCAATTTCTCTTTCTTCCTGATGTTTATACCGCAATCTTCTGCTCGTAGTCGTAGTAACCGTCTTCGCGCCTTTGTCTCTCACGTCTTCATTCCTGTCAACCGTGCGGGTAACTTCCTCCTTGTTGCGTGATAATCACGTGTCCCCGAAACCTTTCCGCTACGCAGAACTTGGCAAAACGACGTTGAGCCAAATTCTACAACCTTGTTCATGCAACGATGCCGTCTCACCCCCATTGAATAAACCTCCTTCGTTCATAATGTCGTTCTCATCATCCATGACAATATCACGAACCTTGTGGTATTGTTTTTAATCACATGACGTCGCTCACCAATACCACGGCATCGCTTTTCACTAATCGATGCCGACCTTGAACTACCTCATCTCGGTCCCACCAAATGGTTTTTCATTCCGCGATATTGTTTTCTACCGAACGGTACCGTTTTTGTCGTCTTGCGGGCTTGCCGGGCCTCGCCAAAATTCAACCCGCTGTGGTATGATTTCTAACTAAACGACATCGCTAAGTAATATCGCGGCGTTGTTAATGCCTTAAATGATGTCGTTTTTAGCTAAACAACAACTCTTGATTCTACCAGCGACATCGTTTTAATATTAAATGCTAACGCTGCTGTCCTAACTACAGCGAGATTTTTGGGCTTACTCGCGGTATCGTTTCCTTCCCCAAAACGACTCCGTTTGCTTTTTCTCCGCGACATTGTTTTATATTAAACACTGTCGTTTTCTTATCCGCGGTATTGTTGATACCCCTTGCGGCATCGTTTTCAACTAAACCACGCCGTCCTAAATAATCATTAAAAATATTAATTAATTAAGCGGGCCATCATTGTTGACCTGCAGTCAAACTCGTGTGTTGACCAACGACATCGTTAGTGCCAAAACGGCTCCGTTTGCTATTCCTTTCGCGACATTGTTTTTTTATTTTAAACACTGTCGTTGCTAGTATAACGGTACCGTTGGGCCTACTCGCGATACCGTTGGGCCTACTCGCGGTACCATTTTTTTATCCGCGGTATCGAATTAAATGCCCAAACTAATTAATGCGGCATTTAATTCAGGTCAAAATAATTTTAGGTGTCAACAAATGCCCCCAACAATTTGGTTTATAAGAATTATGAACCAAATTGTTGACACAATTCAATCACCTAAAATAATCTCAATTAATAATTCAAACAGTTGGCCATGAAAACTAGTGTCCATAATGAAACTAGTATTGCAAAATTTAACTTACCACCAACATTGGCACGACATGTCATGCTGCCTCGAACCCTCCGCAGCCGCCAAATCATCACTTTGCAAATTGCAACCCTGCTTGCCCCCGTCTCCAGCACCACAAATAGTCAAATACTCCCAAATATGTTTGGCGCCTCCAAATTACCAACGGCTCGGCTCTAGTTCCTTACTTCCTTTACATGCTAGCATTATAAAGCAACATTTAGGACCACAAACAAGTTTGGCCAACTAACAATTCTCCGCAGGACTAATTTTTTGGGCCATATCATCTTCTCCTTGTGGCCCAAAGAAAAAACTGACCACGCCACTAAAACCCTTTAATACAACAATTCCATTGTCCATAAAACCCCCACGTTTTCCTCTGCCAGCAACGTTGCCGCGCGTGGTATCCTCAACAATCTTGTAAACAGGCTGCCCCGCACCACTGCTTGGCAAAAACGGCGACGAATTGTAACTAGTAATAAACAACCTTGCACTCCTAAATTGTGGCCTTTTCCCTTTTCACCAATCTGCAGCGCCGTTTTGGCCACAACTTTTCATTGCTTTCTTCCTTTCTCTTTTTGTTAAAACAACCTCGTTTTCCTCCATCAACAGCTCCGATTTTTCCTTATCACTCCCGCTCAATAGCCCTACTATTTTTTAAAACAATTGTGTTTACCATTACCGCAGCTCTGGCCTATTCTATACTAAACGGCATCGTTTCCTTTCTTCTTCTTTTTTCAATCACCAACAGAGCTGTTAGAATCCTAAACTAGCTACAACATTGTTTGGCCGAAACGGCCACAATTTTTTTATTTATTTAAAACCAACGGGTTTGGCTTTGATGAAATTCTATCTTATTGTTTTTTGGCCATGTATAATACTCTTTTTACTTCAGCCGCACCGTGCCCCCAAACAATGTTGTTGAGAAAATAACAATAAATTGGCACCAACAGCTTTGCATTATGGCTTGGGCCAAAACGATGAGGTTTGGCCCTTCTTTCCTGATTATAGAATTACACCAACTCTATTCCAACGACGTGATTATGTCGTCGTTGGCCTCTACTTTTCAATGTGTAATAATCAAAATAGCTGAATAAGCCGAGTAGCATGATTTTCCTACACTCAACCAACATTACATAATAATCATGCCTAAAACAACCACTAAATTCATTCAGAAATGCAATTAACTCATACCTGAGTACCGCCCAATCGGCACTGATGAAGATTGCACGTGGATCCTCCTCCGCACCAAGGTTGATTTCTTCCAGAATGTTGCAGACAGCAACACTGCTTCCTTCTTCCACCTCGTGACTCAGTTCCTCGCCGCTGGTCGACAAGTCATCATCATCGGGAACGCAGTCGGCC